TCTTTTTGGACGACTGGAAGATTTGTCACAGACCTTGGTCAGGACCAGAAACGAACTTGGCACTCGCCCCTTGATTTCTCTAGCACATTCTCGGCCAACTACAGTAGAATTTCTCATGTGGAATAATGTTGTATGGAATAACCCTCGTATGGAATAGGTTTTGGACCCGCCCCAAGTTGGGATAGGGTATTATTCCACTAACCGTGATCCGGAATATGGAATACCCCGGTGAGACCGATATTCCATTGCGCGGGTGGCTCAGAAAAGAAATTTTCAGTGGCCAGGCTATTCTTGGCAGAGCTTTGTTGGGTGGCATTCTATTGTCCAACTTAAATATAATTAGTGTAAACAGAATCACAACTCTCCAAAATCTCTATCCCTACAATGGTCATTACAGAGACCCAGAAAAGCCGTACTGTCTGTGCCCGAGACAAGAATCCTCCCCAGCCCACAAAATCTCGTGCTAAATCGGGTCCTAAACCTAAACATGGTCCTCGCACTGCTGCCCGTTTTAAAAAAGATCAGCGGCATCAGGACCTCGCGTACCACGACTGTTTGCAGGTATTTGAATGTATGGATGAACACGATCGCTCTCAAACGGAGGCGGTTGCCTACTTTGCGACGCGTCCCGACGCAGAAGGTGGCAGAATTTCCTTCACGCAATCTGTGCTGTCGAAAAAACTTCGGAAAAAGGCTGAGATTTGTAATCTTGTGTCTCAAGACCGCAATGCACTGTCTATGAAGCATGCCAGGGTGGTTACTTGTCCTGGAGTAGACACAGTGTTATACCTCCACAAATTTCGCTCTGCACTCACTCAGGAAGTCGAAGAAGCCAAGGTTCAGACAAATATAACCTCTTTCTTCAAGTAGATACCATATACATGCAATAAATTCATTTTTTACTCAAAATATTTACTCTGGAATACCCGTCATATGGAATACCCTGAGGGCCCTTCCCGACGGTATTCCACATGAGCAGCTCTACTGTATACTTGCATGAGGAAAATCTCACTCAGCAATCAGCAGATCAGGAAAGTTCCAAACTGCTATAAACACCCATAGACGTTATAGACAGTCTATAGTGTTTATGGGAGCTATCCAGGTCTATAAAACACTTCATAGCAAATTGGGATTTTCTTAATGGGCAATAGGCTCTTCGAGATACCGGTGTGGATTGTAGGTGCCACTCGACATTTCTCTTACGTTCGTGGAACGTATGACGAAATTTTGCAGCCTGGCTCTAGCTCTCGGAACTCGCAGTAATAGTATGCTACATAGTTTTCGCCCGCTTCACACACAGTAAAAATACATACAGGTATATCCGTTTAAAGTCCAACTGGCCCCGCTTGTGCCTGGGCCATCAACACCAGAACCAGAACCGCGGAAGCGGGATGCCACGTCAAAAATACACAATCTTGGTGTCTGGGGCGGGATCGCGACAGGTGAAGTCGGCGACGATCGACAGAGGTCTCTGACAGAGTCGCGTGCGCATGAGCGATGGATCCGCTTCCAATGAATGATCGGGTGTAGACAAAGAGACGTACCTCCGTCAGACTCTCCTTGCGATTCGTCTCCGAATACAGAAGGACGAGGATGATGAATCGCCGTTCGTCTTCGTCGGTGATGCTGGGTGAGAGGTGGATTACGGGCAATGAGTTGTCGTGGAAGACCCGGTGGATGTTCGTCGTGAATGTCGCCAGGACTGTCCCGTCGTACGAATATAGCTGGACGGAATGGTCACGGAGGCATCAGCTGGGTGGCAGGACGAGCGCAGACGCAGCTACAGATAAGCAGAAAAACGCACCGACCAGCTGTGCTCTGCCTCCGCCGCGTATTTCACCTTATACTCTTCCTCGTCGAACCAGCTCCAATATTTGGCTCTGTCAACGGTCGCGATTAATGATACCGTCCTTGGTGAGGATACGTCATTTCGCACGTCGAGAACGTCGACCGCTTGCTGCGCAGGGAAGATATATCTCGCGTAGAGCCGGATATCTCGAACGTATTCCTCTTCCAGTCGATTATGGCGTTCGGCGTACCGGGCACACCCTCTAGCGCCGTGGTCTCCCGCGAACGGGAGGACCGCTTGTTCACGGTGGTGGTGGTGTACCGCAAGGCGGGGTCATCCGTGGAGTGGATGGTGCTCTTGAGGATCTTGGAAGAGTCGAATGTGAGCGTGGTGAAGGACATAGCTATGGGGACGAGTCGGCGGTTGAGCGCTCGTGAGGATGCATTTATGTGACACGGCTTCCATCGAATGCCCGCGAACAGTTTGCTGCCGTCATCCCATCCTATGGCGATACCCAGAAGCAATGTTCTTGAGTGGTGGACAGCAGAGGTAACAGGAGGTTGGAACAAGAGCGTAGTGACAGACGGGACAGTTGTCACTCTTGGGACTTGAAAGGCGGCTTGTGGGCGAGGGTAGAGGTGTCACTAACGTCAGCGGACCAGGCACACTAGCTCACCGAGATCTGCATCAAGTAGTCCCAGATATCAGGATCCAGTGAAGATTCAGCCGCGCAGCCGGTCACCGAAGGTCCCCGAGACTCAGGAGAGGCAGCAGAGGCAGCAACCCCGGAATTGGAGGATGTCGAGACGCGGATGGTACGTTAACCAGGACAATCTATCCTCGTAAAGGCTGAATCCCAGGAGACCGGTTCTTCCGGGTGACATGGAAGTACGTGCACTGAGATGTCTGTCGAAGAGCAATAACTCGGTGTGGGAGTCTTGGTGAGCGTGAAAAAACAAGAATGGAAGTCCCGATTGATCCGACCCGGAACGGATCAAAGCCGGACTACTCCTAACTTACTTACGTACTTCATGCGTTTTTGGGCGGAATGCCTTCCTACAAAGTTGCATGACGTGGTTCTGAAATTGCGATTCAGTCTCCTGACGACACCCATCTTGGTGCGGAATGAGACCCGTATCAATATCGGTGATTTACCCGGCCCACGTCGGAGTCCAACGTCTGTGGGGGGACGCGAAAGACTTTGCCCACCACGGAATGACCACAAAAACTATAGGTTCTTTCCTTTCCCCTTTTTTTGATCTTCCCCAATACCACAGGCCTACAAACATATTAGATCACGTACGCAAAGATTTACACCTTGGCAGATATGCAGCCAGCCTTCTCGGAATGGAGATCTGCATGGGTTCTGGAGGGGGATCGAGAAAGTTTGATGTGCTAGACATTCGAGAGACTCCAACTCGAGCATCAATATCGTCAAGAGTACCATTGTTCACTGGGACAAGAATTAGCAGTTGCAACCTTGGTAGCAGCAGGATATATGTGACAGAAATACGAGGGAGAACTCGATGCGTACATTGTAGATAAACCAGCTTCACCTCAGAAGTGATGCAGGAGAATTTTGCTCCCGCCAATTCCAGAACCGCACGTGCATGAGGCAATTATGTATCGATGAACGGAAGATACTCGTTGTGGTTTGCACTGGGGAAGTGTTCTCGAAGGGTATCCTTCAATTTCGGGGGTGGCAACCAATGTGGGAGTCGCTAGCGACTTCAATGATTCTCTTACACGGCTTACTGGTACAATCCGCGCTAGAAATATGAAATCCTATACAGTACCCGTCAGGTAAAATTATCGAGAAACCCGCCGATAGCGCCCAAAGGACGCTAGTGAAAATCCCATGAGATCTGGAAGAAGATTGGCGAAGAGCCTGACACTGACCTCCTTCAGACTCTCCAGCCGCTTCGTCTCGGAATACAACAGGACCAGAATGATGAAGAGCCGTTCATCCTCGTCGCGAATCGCCGATGAGATGCGCAGGACCGGCAGCGCGTTGTCGTTGAACATGCGGCGAATTTTTGACGTGAAAGTCGCGAGGACTGTGCCTGAATACGAGAAGACCTGAGAGCCACAACACAACTTGCGTGTGAGCCGCCGCAGGAAATTTTCGAGATGAGAGGGGATAGCGCACCGTCCACGTATTGTCCTCCACTGCTGCGTACTTCACCTTGTACTCCTCACAGTCGAACCAGCTCCAATAGCGCGATCTGTCCCTGCATTAACATCTGTGCTCGGACAAAACCTGCTATATGCATCGCACGAGGAGAACGTCACCCGCTTGGTCTTTAGGTCCGCCATATGCCTTCTCGCGCCGGAAATCTCAAATGTGCCCCGCTTCCAATCGATGACGGCGTTGGGTGTCCCAGGCGCCCCATCGAGGGACGTCGTCTGCCGCGAGGAGTGTGCCCGCACGGTGGTGGTGGTGTATTTAACATCCCGGTCGTCCACGCAGCGCAGCGCGCTCTTGAGGATCTTCGGGGAGTCGAATGTGAGCGTGGTGGGAGAGTCCATCGGTGGAGCTCATGCAGACAAGTCAGGGGGCATTTATGCGAGCACTGCCCCACTGCATCACAGAATGATGGTGAATCGTGATTTGTGTTGACTGTTGGTTGATAGAAAATGTTAGCAGCCGTTATCCTGTGTAAGGCCAAGAAGCAACAACTCAATGAACCACCGGGATCCGCTCCAATACTGCAAACAAATTTTAAGATCCGAGCTGGTTGAGCCGCCAGTGGTAAGCTCTCGCCAGCAAGTCGCCAAAGGAACGCTCCACGATAACCGAATCAGTGGAACCCAAGTGTAACCGAAGCAGAAACTTTCGTACGGCGACCCGTCACAAAAGTGTCGACCACAACGACACCAGACGACACCACATACTTAACTCCGAAAGCCACCATTTCAGCTGCCATCGACCCGAGCATTATCATCGGATTCTGATCTATCTCCATCTTGCTGCTTTGTCGAGGCAAACCAGGACCAGGGGTTCGCAAACCCACTACTACTGAGTTCAAGATCAACGTACTACATATGAAGGTCCGGTTGCACGCCAAGTGGTTGCGCAACAGATTCTCTGGCACACAGAGATGCTGACAAAATTGGAGATATTAGCACGCTAGAGCATTTTGCGAATCTCCAATATAACTCGCAATTGTAGTAGAATGATGTCAATGATGACCGGAGACTTGTTCTTTTAGACACTATAGCTTAGTGGTTGAGCATACGATTGCAATGCTTTTGGATTATCGTGAGGTCCCGTGTTCGAACCACGGTAGTGTCTGCCTTTTTCCCACTCTCCTTTTTTTTTTTTTTTTTTTTTTGGCAAATATTGATACCCACCGCTGAAACAACTCTGCGGTTCCACGCTGCATTAGATCTGCTCGTCATCGAAGATCTGGATCTAGACGTCTGGAGCTTCAGCTTCATCCACGGCGCCCGCCGCCACATATTCAGGAACTTGAAAGTTGGAAGTTGGATCCAATTCGGGGTGTCCTACCGTGTATTCATCGTACTCGCCAATAATATCCCGATCCTGCTGCAGACGTATGATTGTCTGCGTCGCTCGAGTCGGAATTCGGGGGAACAGGGAAGTGGGGAAGGTGAGGAACCAACGATTGTAATACGTCCTCCAGCACCAGAGCTGAGTTCTCAACGAAAGGCATCACAACACAGGCACGCATGCATCTTGTCGTTCGCTCCTCCCTCCGAAAGAATCTCGGTGGCAAGAAAAAATCCGATACACGAAAAGGCGGAATAATTGCATAGAAGAGAATGTTACAATACCCAGATTAGATACGCTCATATTCATGCGCCGCTGCGCACCCATACACGCACCCAGACATGCACCTGCTCTGCTCGTTCCACGACCGCTGTCCAATAATGCACGCCGCAGCGCAGCCGCCGCCGCACTCCACTACCCGCAATAAATGCCTCAGGCCGCGGCGGCAACGGCAGCAGCCTGCGCCTGCGCGCGCAGGGGCGCAAAGCGCGCGCCGTACTTCTCCTTGATGAGGTTCTATGTAAATCGCCCGTCAACGAACGAGAAGACGAGAACGAGGACAAGGAAAGTGAAAGGAGGACATCAAAATTCACTCAGAAAGAATGAACGAGCACATACCGGATGAAAAGTCGCCTTAAAGCTCTCCCTCGCCTTAATCGCCTCAAAGTACCTTCTCACCCGTTCAAACCTGTTCCCCTCAAAAAACTCCTTCGCCGCCTTCACGCCCTCGCCCTCCTTGTAGGCCCCAATATCGTTCGTCATCCACACCTATATAACGAGGTTACGAGTCAGCAGTCCGTCTATCAGTATTAAGAGAGACCATAGACTCATCCGCACACACCTCCATGCGTGCGAGGAACGGCGTGATTGCGATGTCTGCGGCGGTGTACTCGTCGCCCACCGCATAGGTCTTGTCCGCGGGGAGGAGCGCCTGCAGCTTCTCGAGCGCGTCCCAGAAGGGCTCGAAGGATGTGCCGCGGGCGACGGGGCCCATGTACGCGGGGAGGAAGACGGTGGAGACGGCGTCGATGAAGAAGCGCACTTTGGCGCGCTGGACAGGGTCGGAGGGGAGGAGGGCGGAGGAGGGGTAGAGATCTGCGACAAACTCGACGAGGATGAGGGACTCGGCGATTTTAGTCGACTCAGGCGACGGCAGGTCGGGCGAGACTTGAGGGCCGCCGTAGGCTGTACAAGAACAAACGACGTGAGACACAGACTCGCTCCGGCGAGGTTAGGGCGTACCTATAGCTGGGACCTGCCAAAGATAATGCTGTGGTCAGCGCGTGAAATTGAGCGGTCGGATGAGGACACGCACCTTGCTTGCTGGGTTCACTTTAGGGGCATACCACTCGGGCTTGTTGCTCAGGTCAATCTCGAAGCGAGTATAGCCCACTTTGGCCTCGGCGAGCGCTAGCTCGACCTACGATATGCATCCAATGCCTAATCAGTGCGACTCCCACGTCCAAATCCAAGCTAGTCACCCGGTGCGCAAACGGGCAGATCTGCGTGCGAGTTAGCCATAGAATCCAGCGGGGATGAGGGGGGAGGTTACCTTGGCGGTGTAGAGGGTAATCTGCTCTGGCATGATGGTGGGGCGACAGAGAAATCGTATGGGCTATATTTGGCCGATGGCGTTGAAATAGAATCAAATGGCGATTTGTCATCTCACAACGCGTTTAGTCATCTCCCGAGGACCGGTCAGCTGATTATTTACCTATTTGGGGACTCCTTTTTTTGCCTCTCAGGCTGACTTGTAATAGGAAGGCCGTCTCAAGGACATTTCCCTTACCTAGTTGATACCTCCCACCACATCCCATATCCCGGCCTGCCGGGCAAAGCTTACGGCTAAAAGACGTTGATGATCTTGCTGACCTGAGAATGCTGAGTGAGCGCTATTTCAGCTGAGTGAGATGTTCTCCCACGATAAAGCATTAGCCAAGAATGGCATTCCCGCAAGGAAATCATGGGAGAGGGCCAAATTGGCATTGTTTTCCGCTCGGGGGTGCCTGAAGGTCTGCCGATAATTGCAACTTCAGCTGGACGGGTCATCGAACATCGCCCCCGCTGGGATTGTCCCGTTCTTGTGTCATTCCAACGTTCTGACGGCAGAGGCAGAGAAATTTACTGTACTCTGTTTGACACGATATCGAAATTGAAGACGGATTCAGGCCGGGGAAGAACAGACCGGCTGCCTTGTGCAGCTTGTTTCGGCGAGCAGAGCTGCCACTTGCGCAGAATATCTTCATCCCTGCGGACTTTGACGGTGAATCCCTGTTCTGGTCCGTCATCGTCACCACACATACAACCTTATAATTATGACTTGTGTTTACCGCAGATTCAAATCTATCAAACGGTCCGCCCAAGGTCCACCACGTCAAATCCTCTTGCAATCCGACCTTCACTGTTGCGGCGAACAGCCGCTTGTCTTAAGATTTCCCAGCACCAAGTATAATTGATGGATTGCAGTACTCAAGCTGTGAATTATTGCTCCAGAAACAGTATGTCAGGGTTCCACGCGCAAGCCGTCCGCTGAACAAGCTGGCTGGCTGTTTGAGTATTCGGGAATACATAAATTTTTCAACGTGCACCAGCCGAGTTTGGACAGAAATTTTAAGGCGAGCACCCAGCATTCAGGGACTCCGAGTCACTTGTATATTCTACTCGTTTCAGGCAGGATGATTTCAGCTTACATGCTTCGGTTGGTAAGAATGAGCTTGACACTGATTTCGAGTCAATTAATTGTAGTTTCATGCAAGCGACTGGGGTCTCGCAACCAAGTCCGTTTGGGGATGAAGGGGACTCGGTCAACTGGTGAATCCATCCTGTAGTGCGTTACCTTCTTATAATTTAAGCCGGCCTGTGCGTCTGAAGCTCTTCAAAGTTCAAACTCCGCTCCTCGGAATCCCTTGCCGAAACCAAGTCCCCAAATTATTGTTCGATTTTCCATCGTTGCTTAGAGAATTTTGCATATCCTTCCAGTCTTACCTCCCTCGTTTATGTTTTTGTTGCTCCAAGCTCAACTTTCAGACGAGCCGCATGCCTTCGGATCACTTTCCGCACTCAGCCGCACAATCATCTCCTTCAAGGTTACTCATGATAATGCGGCGACTCTCCCGCCTTGATGATCCGCGCACACGTTCCAACTCCGCTACAGTCCGTTTACGACTGTCGCAAAATAATGTTGTTCGCCGGGTATATCGTGGTGACAACGGGTTGTAAAACACGGAACCGACACAATGATATTGGTATAAAAACGCAAGTCTCGACCTCCCAACCGCAGCCGGCCTCCCCGCAACACCTTCTGTGCTGGTCACAGAAATCATACCGAACCTCCCTCCAACCTTGCCCGATACTTATATTACTCACGATTCCCATCATGCTCTTCTCTTCGAGTCTCTTCTGGGTCATCATCATCACTGCGTCGCGATACGCCATCGCAGCTCCCGCTGCACCCATCCCCTGTGGGCTGTGGTGCTTGGAACCTCAAACGACAACCGTCGCGGCTCCCGCTCCCTCTCCCACGTGTTTAGGGTTGTGGAATTGCAACTTGCCCCAAACGACAGCTGCTTAATGTTACTGCTATGCGTCTGGAGAAAGTCTAAATGCGGAGCTGGTGTTTTTTTCTTGCGTAGCTGCCCGTATGATTGCCTACTGACATGATTGTGATAGCGCATAAATATTTTATTGTTTTGGCCGCGGCTGGAGGAATGAGCGGATGGGGCCTTCTTGACGCACGCACGACAATTCTTATTACTATCTTTATAAAATTACGTGTGTCTGTCTGCCTGAAGCCTTTAAACTTCGCCATCTCCGTTGCATCGATTGCATCGATATCATCCGATCCGCAGAATCGGCCCAGCTTTGTCGGGCTTTATGCGCCTCGGAAGTCACGGCCCGCTCCGGCACAATAGCCGCTCGATCACTTCTCTTTCAGATAGGCTCGGGACATGGGAATCTTACTCTTGCACAATAAGGAACGTTCAATTACTTTCTTACATTCCCCAGAAGTATGCTCACACTGACTTGCGTTCATCATTTTAACCAAAGCGGTGGGGCGCGAGCGCCCCGACGCGCTCTTGTGCTTTATACAATTCAGATTCTCAGTCGCTCCATTAGTAGTAGCTCACTCCCCAAGCTCTTCCTTCCACTACGCTCGTGTCTTCGACGCCTGCGCCGAGGCTGCGTTGGCCACCGCAAGCGCGTACGTCCCATCGTCCTCAGCTTTCACACCGTCAGTGTCACGGCGCCAAAAAACCCCCAAAAAAGGATAAAGGGTTCTCAAGATCTGGCGTGATCAGCATCCCATAGACTAGACTGAAGATCTCCTTCAGAGTGATATCGGAGGACCAAAAGCGCCTCCGCAATGCAGACTTACACAACATTCGTTAGTCTGCACGAAGAAAAATGATAAAGTATCTCGATTTACCTTGCCTTGCTTTGATACCTAAACACCTCGTTCTCAGTGTATATATCATTAGACAGAGAGCAGCACGGAGCTTCTTACATTGGGGTGCATGATAAACGTCACGAATCGCACTTCCGGCGGGTCGCGCGCGTATTCCGCGGGTGAATCGCAGGTCAGCAGGACCGTTCTGCCTTTGTACGGACATTTATCAATACCGGTGGGAGCCTTCCATTACATTCCGTCAGTACCTGGCTATAAAAACAAACAGAGCTGAAGATAACTTCCACATTCAAGATAATCTTGAGAAACGACATGTTGCTGTCATTATGGGACAGGTCAATATTCAGGTGGGTGTCAGCAAAAATAGCTTTTATCT